TTTTCAGTCAGACATTTGGTGTTGGCTAAGACAACACATATTTGGTGTCAATGGAGAAAAATAAACCATGAGAGGTTTACTTTCCTCAGTGACTAAGGAGATCAATACTAGATTAATATTAGAGCTTGGACCTCCCCCAAGATCATCACCTGCCAGGTGGGAATCATCTTTATACAAATGGTGAACTGCAAAGGGAAAAACTATTTCCTGTCAGTTTCCTCCTGCAGCCTCCACATTGTGACAAAAAGATTAGAAGTTCAGATGGTTTCTTCATTATAATGATTACTACACTCAAACTTTGTGAACTTGTAACTTTTGTAGCTATTGGTAAAAACTGGAATCCTTGACTTATTGTTTCTGAATCTGGATTTTTTGGAGACAGGAAAGTTTAAACAGTTGTTTGTAGAAAGAAATGGTTGAGATAAAATATGCTTTACAAAAACACTGTGGTTTGGGATGAATATGTAATTTCAGAATGACTTTATAAGTAGGTTCATGTAGTCCTGTAAGCAGGAAAATCTGGAAAATGCCAGTGTTATTTTATAGACTTGTACATTAGAGAGAGAAGCAGCAGCCTTGCTTCCTCCCTCTCTTCATTGCATGTACAAACATGCTGCTGCACATCTCTAATACTGTTGGGGTACACCAATGGTACTTTACATCATCAAACCTGAGGAGGCAATAGTCCAGAATAGAGTGCTGCAGAAAGGCTGAAGTAAAGAACAAAAATAGTCCTTGGGTTTAGTAATCTTGGATCTCTGTTGACTATGCCAACCTGTTTATGTAAGGGGGTCAGACTGGCAAGAAGCATAGAGTGGGAAATGGAGGCTTCTATTCTAGTAAGTTTGACTGTTTATCTTCTTTGTAGAGTTTACTTCCAGGAGAGCAGAAGAGGATTTTCTTGACTGAAAACTAATGAATGAGTGAAAATCCCACTACACTAGTTTACATTTATTTCCCACAAAAGAACCACACTAGGGCTGGGGCTGGGGCTCAGCAGTAGCATGCTTGCCTAGTATGTGCAGGGCTCTGGGTTTGAGCCTCAGCACCACATTTAAAGATTATAGTAATAAATAAAGGTATTGTTTCCAACTACAACTAAAAAATTAAAAAAAAAACCACACTAAAGCAATTTACATTCCACATCAGTGCACTGTACTTTGGTATGCCCAAATCCTCAGGATTCTTACTGATATTTTTCCTTTTAGATCTTTTTAGCATGTATTAAGACTCTAAAAGCACTTCCCATAAAAGAAAAAAATGGACAAATTGGACTTCACCAGAATGAGAAACTGTTACTTTTGAAAATTATTTTACTTTTAAAATGAAAAGGCAAGTAAGAGATGGGTCTGAAATGAGCTGGTATCCAGAATTTATAAAATAACTCTCCTTGTTACTTTTTCTAGTACAAAGTATGCACCTTTTCTTTCCCTCTTGCTTGCTGCTTATCACAAGGATCCATGTGGTTGCCTCCCAGAAAGGTGATGTGGGATTTCAATGATTTCTAACTCCTGGTGTACATATTCCTGTCTAGATCTCTTCTGTGTTTAAGAGGGTCCAGGCACATGACAATAGGGCATTACAGAAATGATGCTATGTTTCTAAGGCTAGGTTATAAAAGACACTGTACCTTCTGTGTGGCTCTCCTTTGAGGTAAGCAAGCTGCCATGAAGTGACCATGCTCAAGAGTCCCCACAGAGAGGTTCATGGGACTAAATACCCAACACTCAGCACTCACCTGCCCAGCATGAGGCATCTAGATGACTTTGTGAGAATTGTCCAACCCATAAAGCCTCATAACTCCATAACTCCAACTTTTGTTGACATCTGACTGCAACTTCCTGGGGGACTCCAAAACATACAACTTAGCTAAGACTCTCCTGAATTCTTGACCCACTAAAATTATGTGAAATGATAAATGTTTACAGATTGAAGCTGTTATATTTCGGGGCATTTTGGTAAGAAGAAACTGATAATGAATGTAGGTGAAAAGGAATATGTAGCTTCAATTTGGCTTTGGATCTAAGCCATTTTTTTACTTGTGCTTTGATCTCTTCAATTTTATTTATTGTATTTATTTTTTTAGTTCTGATCCAACAGGTAGAGGAAGAAGAAGAGAGTGAGAGATAGGGAAAGCAGGATGGAGTTATTGATATGAAAACCATGGGAAATGGCTAAATGTGCAAGCATCTCCTTCTCCAAGATACATAGTTCCACAGAAATGTCAGTCTTGCTGAGTGACTTTTTTTATAGCAGGGCTCAGAGAACCCTTCTTTGCAGCCTCTATCTGGTTTTCACTCCATCCAATATGGAGGAGGGTCTGTAACTCAATGTTTCAAGACCAACTCTTAAAACTTTACTTACTTTAAAAGCATCTGTAAGAGCCCCCAAAGAAAGATACAATGAGAAAAACCCAAAAAATAAATACCTGCAGACCTCAAACAACACCCTGGAGAACAGCCCCCAGTTCAGAGGCACCAGTGTGTGTAGAAGAGGGAGTTTGGGGCCCAGGAAGTTTGATAATGGTTTTACCACCCAGCCAAGAGCTGGCATCTTCTCCCATTCTCCTGGTGGATTTCCAGTGGGGACCTGGCCAGCTGCAATCAGTCATCCTAATCTCTAACAGTAATGAGAACTATGTGAGATGTTCCTTCAGATAAATTGGGCAGAGACAGGTTGAGGACTATTTTGAATAGAGTGGGGCCTGGGCTGGTCCAGCCATTTTGTCAGCTGGCCATAGTAAGAGAACTTTTATTTTCTTCCATGTCTAAATCTGTTGGGGGGGCGGGGGGACAGCTACAGGCAGGCAAACTCACCAGCCTCCTCTGGCCTGGCATGGGGGATGGGGGTGGGGTGGGCCCGCGCGGCCCAGGGCTGGTTCCACCCTCTGGGAACGGCTGAGTATTTTCAGAAGCCGGGGGCGGGGCTTGGCGGGGGCGGAGATCCCCTCTCCAAGGCTTTCTGGAGGTGGTGAGGGAGCTAATGTGGGACTGAGCACAAGTGCGCTGGAGCTCCAGACCGGCATCCGCCAAAGTGCCAGGTGGATCTCAGAACGTGACTGGGTCCTTCCTCCCCGAAGTTACCCATGCAGGGCACAGGAACCCCGGTAGCCTCATCTGTTCCCGAGTACCCTAACGCCAGCGTGGGCTGATGCACTGCAACCGCTCGAGTTGGACAAAGCCCAGGGAACCCACTTTTGCCCGCGGCGGAGCTTTGGGAGACCGAAGCTCTTGAGTCCAGAGACCAGGCTTTCTCTAGCCTCTTGATTGAAGTGTGTGGCTTCCCTTTTAAGTCTTTTTCTCCCTCACCGTCTAGTGTGGCTGAAGTGGCTTTTCTTGTGCTTAGGATTAGGGGCTCCAGCAACATCCCTGACCCCAAGTCCCGGGAGGAGGCAACCACTTGGAGCAAAGGGGCTCAGCCCCACAGTGGGTGGCATTTTCTCTTGGGGAAACCCTGTCCCCTAGGGGCCTTGTGTGGGTTAGACTGTGGATCCAGAAGGCAGCGTTGGAGACCTGCCTGGGGTGCCCCTAGAAAGCGGTTTAGTCCTCGCGGTGCAGACAAGGGTACCTATGGTCTGAGTACCCTTGGCCAGATTCCAGGCAACCTGCAGGTTTGGGGGATGATAAGCGGGGCGCGGGAGGACTGGAGACCAAGAAGTTTCGCTTTAAGACCTAAAAAAGAAAGAAAAAAAAATGTGTGAGACACTCTAAACGCTTAAAGCCGTTTCTGTATACACTTTCCTTCCACATTCCTGCAGGCAGGTGAGAATTAGGGGACAGTTGCAGGCAAGGGGCACTTAGCTCTTCCCATGTCCTGATGCTAAAAGCCCGCTCTGCTACTCTGGCTGACCCAATGGACCAGAGGCAGCATGTTGAATGGCCTTTCCTAGTGGCGGGCAGTGCTTGGGTTTAAGCAGATACTGACTACATCAACATTCTTAGATGACTTGATCTGGAAGAAGAATTACATTTAAAACGCTGTCCATTGAAGCATAAACCATCTGGAGTGCACTATGAAATAAGTAACCCTCTTTTTTTCCCCTCTGTATTTATTTATTTATTTATATATTACAGTGTAATGCATTACAATTCACTGGGCTTGACCCTCAGCACCACATAAAAATAAATAAAATAAAGGTTAAAAAGTGCTTTAAAACTTTTTTTTTTTTTTAAAAAGAGTAGAATACATTTTTATTATATAACATTTTATTTATTTTTAAAATTTTCTTTTCATGGAATACATTTTCTTTTTACAATTCCCACAGTGGGAAAGTAATTTATTATCATTTTTAGTTTTATATTTGTGAACAGATTATTGTAGGACAAATACAACACATTGGAGAATTATATCTGTTTGGAATTTGTAATATTCTGGTATGTCTACAAGGAATACTTCTCTAACTTGAGCATCTCTAAATTCAGAAGCTCTCCAATCTTTCCTTCCTAGGATACAGAAATATGTAATTTGAGATTTTGGCATTTCCTAATTTTAAAGTTTCCCTAGGACATGAAACCTTTAGTAGCTGGTATCAACTGAACAGATAGGGAAGTTTGCAAAAGAAAACACTATCTAATTTTTTGCAAAGTCATGAATTAACTGTCTTTCCCTTTGTCCATTATTTCCAAGACAAATGCAGAAATGATCATATACTGATAATAATAAAGCTAAACTCTCTTTAACAGACTGACAAAAGCAAAAACTCATATATAAAGTTCAGTTATACCGTGAGTCTCATGAACTTGAAGACAACCCCATTAACTCACTAGAATGCAGAACTAGGTCTCATAATTTCTTGAATACATTTCCTCTCAAACCTCTTCCTCAACAATTAAATTCTAAAATAACCATGTGATTAGAAGATTTGCCCAACAATGAACTTTCAGTTATTTCCTCCTTATTGTGAGTTGAATGACAGAGCAGAGGCAGAGGCATACAATCAATTCTCAAGTCAAAAATGTCAAAGCTTCCACAGCATGGCAACAGCTTTGCAGATGCCCACATTATGATAGTTGAAATAACCTCGGCCCAGCAAAGGTTAAAGCTGAGAGTGCCAAAAGGCCTGCTTTGGCAGCTTTCTGTGATGCATCCCCATGAACATAATCAGTGACAACTTGTCCAAGGTCCCAGTGACTATGAATAGTGAAGACTGCAGCCAAAGAGTAGTCCATTGCAGAGCAAGGATTCAAATATGCAGCTGGAAGCAGGCCCAGGAGCAAAACACTGACAACCTTCTCACTAGTCCAGTGAACAGATGCAGCCTTGGAACGAGAATGGCGGTTTGGTGACAGGTGAATGTGCTGTGTTCTAGTCCCTCCTGGGGTAGGTCGGTCCTGGAGAAATGCTGAGACCTGAGCAGGTCTGACCAATGGGGTTCAGAGGAATAGAGCTCGGCCTCCCTGAGCACCACAGAGGACACCCAGCCTCAAGAGAACTGCCATCTCGCTTTTGAGGGTTCAAGGTCGTCCATCAACCCCTTAAAACTTTTTTTTAGAAAAAGTGGTAAATGATACAAATGTACAGCTAAAACCAGTGCAATGAAATAAATCATGGCACATTGTTTTCGAAGATGCAGATTGTTAGATTTTATCAGAAGTGATCTCACAGGGATTCAGGGAGGAGCAGGATCCAGGTGTCTTTGAGGCCAGATAATATTTCATTGAAGGGGCTGAAAATCTCAGTCTTAGTCTATTGTCTGGATTGCCAGAACTTTAACTTTTTCCCCTTTAAATTTTTATTACAGAAAACTCCTATATATTTAAAATTAGAGTATTACAGTGACCCTGCTGTGATCTGAATGTTTGTGTCCCACCAAAAATCATATGTGGAAACCTGCTATCTAGTGTCCTAATGTCAGTAGATGGTACGTTTTGGGAAGTCCTAAGGACTTCAACCTTTGAATTGGATTTTTGTTCTTAGGAATGAGGTTAAAGGGAGCATATTAGGCCTTTTTGCCCTTCTGCTTTCCTTCATGTGAGGACACAGAATTTGTCCCCTCTGGGGATGCAGCCACAAGGTGCTATTTCAGAAGCAGAGAAAAGCTCTTACCAGATACCAAACCTACTAGCACCTTGACCATGGACATCCCATGCCCCAGAACTGTGAGAAATATACTATTGTTTAGAAATTACCCAGTCTGTGATATTTTGTCATAGCAGCAGCAATAGACTAAAAGAGAACACCCATATATTTTCACCTGGCTTCAATAGTGACCATATAACTGTTATTTATTTTCATTTCCCCTGGCCTCCTTCATGGGTCCTAGACAGCCAACTTCCCCACCCCCTTTAAGTGTGTAAGAATTAAGTTTGGACAGAACTGTTTTTTCCCCCCACATAATCACAGTACTGTAGTACTGTTGTTACAGACAACAGCATCAGCCACCAGTCTTTCTTTTTATGTGATATCAGGTCTTCCTCAGTTTTCCAGCCATCTGGAAAGGGTCCTTCAGTCATAGGGCATCCTATTTACCTTGGTTTTCCAAGTGTTTGCCTCTTCTCCCTGCCCCGGTTCAAATTGTTCTTTAGCCACACCCTAGTATTCCCTTGTGCTCTGAATTCCTGGAAGTACTGTTTTTTTTCTGCATTTGTGTGGACCCCCTGTGTCCTGGCCACACAACTTGGGGCTCCTGTCTTGGAGGCTTGGAGTGTCTCTGACTCCCCTTAAGGTCATATTGCACACAGATATAGGAAAGTTAAGCTCATAGCACCTTGTGGTTACATCCCCAGAGGGAACAAATTCTGCTCAGCCTTGGTTACTCTAGGCTTCCCAGTTTCCTTGCTCCCCAGAACCATCTTTTGGTGTGTGCTCCTGGTACTCCTCCAGGAGAAGCATACTGAATCATACCATGGAATGGGCCATTCTCCACAATTCTTAGAGCCCTAGATTTATTAGAATAAACTGGACATTAGGGTGGGGAAAGGAGAAAGAAGAGAGGAAGGCATTTTAGCTTTTGGGGGTATCCTTCCCTCACTTTTACAAACAACAACAAAATACTTAGTTTTGTGCTTTTGGGTTTGAAAGTTTTGATATCTCACTTTAAATTCAGGCTGTGGGTGGATAAAGTGTTTACAACAATGAGAGCATATGAAGATATGAACATCCATGACATGCAAATAACTCATAAGAATGGCTGGGGGTGTAGCTCAGTGGTAGTGCTTGCCTAGCAGGTGCCAGGCCCTGGGTAATGTCTCCAGCACCAAAAGAATGGGGAAGAAATGGGACAAAGGTATAGTAGTTGGGTAGATTGCAGAAGAACACATACAAAAGGTCATTGACTTATAGGAAATTTTTGGTTATATTATCAAGATAGCATTGTTTGGAAAACAATGACCCTATGCTCTTCTGACTCCTCTAATTGGCTGATGTTAAAAGTGAGTAAGTAAGAGTGTGTAAACCTCAGTGTGGGGAGTGTGGCATTGTGGTGCATAAATTTTCCCATTTAGGGCCATTTGGCAATGCTTATTAGCATTTAAAATCACACATCTGTGGTCTGCTGAACAGTATGAGAACTATTCCTTGTGCATGCCACTGTAATGGTGCAACCTTGGAAACATCTACCTGTCTTAGTGAGAGCTAAATAAACCATGTGCCTTCTCAACTGTGGGTTAATACATAGTGGTTAACATGAATACTGAAACCAGTGTGTTCTAATGAGGGATATTTCAAAGAGGTACTTTTCTGGATGGGAGAAGATCAAATTTATAGAATGACAGATTTACACTGCATATAACTCTCACTTCTCTCCCCATTTATCCATTGTTAGCCACCTCAAGAATAAGATGTTAAAATGCCTGTAATGCCAGCTACCCTGGAGGCTAAGGCAGGAGATTCTAAGTTTGAGGTCAGCAAGACCCTGTCACAAAATTTTAAAAAAAGGGGGAGGGGCTGCTGAGTATGTAGCTCAGTGCATCTGACCTGGGGCTTAATCCCCAGTATTGTTAGGAGGGACACTTCAGTGATGGGGAGGGGTCACCTGGGGAGATGAGGAGGTCAGCTCCTCTCTTACCTGCAGTTGTCTATTTACTTATTTATTTTAATGAGGAGGCCACATTCATAGGAGAACAAAAAGTTTAGCGTATTTTGTACCATTTTCACCTCCTATGCCTAGTGATCACCATATTGTATCCTTCCATTAAGCTCTCAGGGAAAGCATTTATCTCTATAAGTTGGAATTCAGTGGGCCCTTCACATCTGCAGATTCAACTAACTGCAGATTAAAAATAAATAAATAAATAAATAAAATAAAACAAAACAAAACTTCTAGGAAGTTCTAAAAAAAAACAAGTTGAATTTGCCATACATTGAATAGTATGTGAATCCATATAAATAAGATGATACATAAGCAATCTGGAGATGATTTAACTTATACAGAAGGATGTGTGCAGATTATATGCAGTTTCACCATTTTTTGTAAGGGACTTGAACATCCCTGGTTTTGGGCATCTCAGGGGTCCTGGAACCAATCCCCTGTGGATACTGGGGGATGACTAAATGAATAGGAGGTTGCTGACATGGTAAGTGCCTTTCCCTCATTGTCTTCCACCTTGCTTCATAAAATGTCCTTGTCTGGTTCTGACCTGAGGGGAAGGCAGGGAAGAGGTGGGATCAGTTTGTTGAGTAGAAATGCTGGCCATTTATAAACTCATTAGGGGCACATTTAGATCTTTGGGACATCTTATGAACAATCAGGGAAATGGAAGGTTGGTGTTGAAGGAAATTTGGCTTGGCTAGTTCTGTGGGTTTTCAGACTCCCCATAAGGGAATCTGGGTTTTGCAAAATAATTGGTGCACACTCCATTTTAGACATACTTAAAGATATCTGGAAAACCTCCATTCAAGTTCACTTTTAGCCAGACCAATACTGAGACCATGGGCATCTCTGGATATAGCTTGCTTTGATGTAGACTGAAGTAGACATCTTTGTATAGTTCCAGAACCTCAGAGTTTACTACACAAAATATGAATTGTCTAAGTGGTCACAAAAATCTGAATCATCTTGATATTCTGACAGTAAAGCAAAATACAGAAAATATAAAAGAATGTGGATGTGGAAACAGGATTATAGGTGTCTTTTGAAATGCAGTATCCAGTTTTTATGGCTATTAAGATGGAGTCACATTTTGACTTTTTCATAAAGAGAATATTAGAGTGTTATGTGTTGAATTGAGGCCCTCCTGAGGTGGGGGTGGGGAGATATGTTGAAGTGCCAACTCCTAGTACTTTAGATTGTGATCTTATTTGTAGAAATAGTTTTTACAGAGGTGATAAATTAAGATGAGGTCATTAGGGAGGGCCCTCAAACAATAGAACTGTATCTTGTAAAAGGAGAAGTGGACACAGACACACTCATTGGAAGGAGGTGATATGGAAGAAGGTACTGAAGGTGACACAAGGGGACAGGGCTGTCTAAGTCAACAAGAGTGTGGCCTGATACTGTCTCTCTAAGTGCCCTCTGAAGGAGGCAACCCTGTCAATTCCTTGATCTGAGACTTGCGGTCTCCAGAACTGTGAGGCAGCAGGTTACTGTTGGTAAAACCTCCTGGTCCATGGTACTGGTTATGGAAGCTTTGGTAGCCCTTTTCTGATGCTATATCAATACTGTAGCTCAGTGGGAGAGCTGGTACCTGGAATGTGTAAGGCCCTTGGTTCCATCCCCTGTATCTGTTCCCCACCTGTAAAAGAGGATAAAGGATTATTTGGCTCACCATGTTTCTGGGGGTTGGAAAGTCTAAGAATGTAGTGCCAGCAAATTATGAGGGCCTTCTTGTTGCATTATAATAGCACACACATCACCTGCTGGGACAGGGCAAGTGTGCCAGCTCAGGTCTCCTTTCTTTTTCTTGGAAAACCACCAACACTCTCTTGGGGACCACACCCTCAAGACCACATCTAATCCTACCAAAGGCTCTGCTTCCAAATGCCATCAGTATATGACTTTGGGGATTATATTTTCAGTGCTTGAACTTCTGGGGGACACACTTGAAACACAGTGAACTTACATGCATGCACACACACACATAATGTAAGTGCTTGCTCAGCTGATACTGCTTGCTATGGGTTTTACTTTTAGAATTTCTGCATAAGAGTTTACTTGATCAGAAGGTTCCACTAAAGTGTTACTTTGCTGAGTGTTTGAGCTCTGGGGAGGTAAGCTGACTGAGTCTGGCCCCCAGCACTGGTCCTCCCAACCAAGGCCAGCCTTGCTGGATGAGGCATATGCCATGTGGAACAGCTGGGGTTGTAGGCAAGGAATTCAGTATGCCCCCAACCTTATGTGGTCATCAGTTGGCATTAGAGCATATCTCTGTTTTTCTGGAGAGCCTGTCATCTTGTACTCACTGTGGCATACACTGGCCACTCCTGCTTTTCAAGGCCTGTTCTCTAGATGTCATTGATTAACTGTCCATCTGCCTATGAACCCTCCTCTGGCTTGTAGCTC